GTAAATGTAATACTGCAGATTCTGATGATGATGTGTGGGGTTTAACGTTCCAAAACCATCATATGATTGTGAGAGACGCCGTAGTGGAGGGCTCCGGAAATTTTGACTACCTGGGGCTCTTTAACGTGCACCCAAATCTGAGCAAACGGGCCTACTACATTTCTGCCTCAATCGGAAAATGCAGCCGCCGCAGCTGGGATTCGATACTGCGACCTGCACCTTAACGGCCACCTTAGCCCTTAGCCACTAGACCACCGCGGCGGGGCTACTACGGATTCTAGCAACGCTTCAAGATAGTTTAACTGACTCTTAGGGGTACATATGCAATGCTTATTTACCTGTTATAACAGTGGGGTAAACATCTGAACCAAAATTGATGCTAAGCCAATATGACATATGTATCTCAGGAGTGCGAAATAGATGTTTATTGCATGATCATGAAAGTACACAGCTACCACTAGAACCACAATATATGTTACACCAAGAACATTCATGCGCATAGGGTACTTTTCCAAAGCAGTTTCGAGACCTGGCGTGGCTCTATGGTAGAACACTTCATTGCCACGCAGAATGCATGGGTTCCATTTGTGCTCGGATGAGGATTTCGATTCTTCGAATACGTCCAGTCAACGTGGCTGATGCCGCATTTTCTCGACGCTCTCTTGCTTAAATTAGCAATGCCCGTTTTCGCCATTCAGTGTCCGCTTTCGCCATGTCAGACACTTGCGGCGCACAACGCAGCCAGTGATATACGGGCGAGTGTCGCACGTGGTCGGAGGAAACAGCTTCATGACGTACAGCCGCGGCCACGCATGTGTAGAGCACGCAAGCAGCCGGTTTTTGCTCAGTGGGGCGCAACCTTGAGGCAGTATCGCGCTCTGGTGTGATCAGCCTCACAACTAGGACAGGAGTGCTCCCGATACACCACTTCAGAGCCCTAAACTGTCTCATGGTTTCGCGCGGCGGAGCAAAAACTGGCTGCTCGCGTGCTCTACACAGACGTGGCCACTTCTGTACGTGTCCGGTTGTTCTTGTCAATTACTAGATAAGTTCTTCAATGTAATGGATAACGTGACACATGAAATACAAAATGAACGATGCCACTCTTCACCTGCTTCAATTTCGTAATTTTTAAATGCCGAATAACACATTTATTATTTGATTATTATAAAAGTAATTAATGATTGATTGATTGATTGATTGATTAATTGATTGATAATGTAGGGGTTTCACGACCCAAAGCCACCATGCGTTCTTGGTTTTGCCTGCGAAACTCTAAGCGCACTAGTTATTATTTTTTTTCCCGGGTGATCATTATCAAGGTGCTCGGAAAATGAGAGGAAGAAGACTTCTACTTGGCGCTAGTGCGCGCTCGATATGCTACACATCGAGCATTACGCCAAGAGACGACGCCACGACAGCGTACAACAGCTTTGCCCCCTAAAGTTCTCCACGCTTAAGAAAACAGAAAAAAAAACTTACCTTCGACCGATGCCACGGTTGCGCTCTCGAGTCGAAGATATCACACGTGCATACATCTCAATAATGTACAGCATGTTGTTGTATCATTTTTTCGTAACCTTTTCTTTATTCATTATCGCTCAACATAGTTTGATTATGTACACTCGACGCGACCGCAGTGCTTCACAGAGGCATCGTTGGAAGGCCGCGATTCACACGCAGTCAACGTGAACTCTATAGAATACACTCTCTAAACACGATGTCGTTCACTTGTGCGCACAGAAAAAGTCAAGCCGCACTTTGTTTCGACACAAGCTGTACAATATAGAGGTTATATATTACAGACAGTGTTTCAATTTAAAAAAGAAACAACGCTTATGACTAAGCGCATGACATTCAAAACACCGTCACTCTTATGCTCTCACAGTTAACGCAATACGCAGTAGTTTTTTTTTTTTCATGAACAAACAGCTTATCTCATTGCATTTTAGTTCCATACATAACAGTTCCCACTTTCACGTGTAGAGCTCTAAATGCACTAGCACTGTAGAATTTCCTTGAAGACTTTGTATTTTCTTTCCACTTTCACCACAGAAAACTTAAGAATAATCGGTTTTTCTTTATAAGGTGACATTGACACTTCATGATAAAGGCCAAACCAGTTCAGGCTTTATGGTCGGATAAATTTTGTTCATTCGGTAATTAGTATCTTAACGTCTTATTCTAAAAAAGATGCTCAAATACTGTAGCTTACTTTCAACATTTATCAATTACATGGTTCAACAACCAAAATATTTTTAACAGCAAATCTTATTGGGTGTTTCCAATTAAAAAAAAGCTAGAAGAAACAAGATTCCGGGAAGTTGCGTTAGTGGTAAAGATGGGGGTGTGATATATCTCAAGTGTGCACAATCGTTCTTGCATTGAAAGCAGTGAATTGCTTTTTATTTGAAGCGAAAAAAAATAGTGTGGGCAACAATTTATTTTAGAAAACGGCGTTCTGTGGATATGCTAGTGCAATTGTTCGACACTTTTTGATATGTACGATCATCGTCCCACTACTCAAGAAAGAAGGACTTGTATTTCTGGCTGTATATTAGTTTCGAATAACATATTAGGTAACAAAATATCAACAGACCTATTTGTTCGAGCACGCTTTTCCAAAACGCGCGGAATGCTCCGAAGTAAAATGATGGGGTTTCTTGCAAAAATTTTAATGCTCGTACCTACAAGAACGTCTGGATTGAGTAGTAGCGTACACCTCCAGACTTGGTTTAAAGTTATAAGCCTAACGAACAAGCTTATATAAATTTTGAGATGAGGAGAATCTGGCTCGATTATTATTTCGTTTGTTCAAGCTTCGCGTAAAATAAAATCTATGTCTACGTTTCAAGGTAATAGGCTTGCTTTTGATAACAACTTTGCGATTACAGATAGCCACACAAATTGTAAATAGTGTTACGAAAAAAAACACGAAAAGTGATGGCATGTTAGACTATAATAAAAATATTCAAGACGTTCAAAACTGAGTTACATCATTTTATATTGTCTCACATTAGAGAAAACGCTTTAATCGATTGTTTTATTCAGTCACGAACCACTTTATCGCTATAATATTTGACGCTGCCAAAAATGTAGACAGCGAACGCTGCACTAGTTTTCAAAAAGTGTAAAGAAAAAAAGTCTGTTTAGCTGTTTTGGAATAACAACGTTTTTAATTTCGTTCGGAAAACACAGCGCTTCATACTCGCTCACATTCTTCGAGTAAGCCTTCTGCAAAAGAAAACTCTGGTTTCTGAAAGCACCAGTACCTGTGTGTCTCGCGTAACCACGTATTATTAGAACTTGCGACCACCGTGGGCAACTGCTGCAGTAATTGCAACTATAAAGATTATTTTCTCGTGTACCAATGCTCGAAATCTTCAATTTTTCTAGAAAAAAAAAACTATTTACATCGGCACGCTTGATTTTATCAACGGGTCATTTATGCGGAAAAATAAAAAAGTTAACTAGGCTCAAAAACATGTCGTTGATAGCGCATCATGCAAACCCAAAATTCATAATGAGCACGCAATGGTTTGCTGACGCCGGCTAAAACAGAGAAGTAAAACACTTTCACGAAACATTTGTTCGGAGACAGGTTACATTAAAATGTACTAAATTATTCGGTTAACTAGCACATTTGAAGTCCAGTTGACTAAACAAAAAGAAAAGGCGAGGTAGGGGGCACATCTTGAGTGTTGCTACGCAAAAGCAAGTGCGTTTCAGACGCTGACACGAGCGTATTATTTTCGCGGGGAACATACTAGACAATTTTTGCGTGTGTGCGTGTGGAAACACGTTTGGCTTAAAGTTTTACAGATTGCACATCATCCAAACTAGTTCAGCGAGCACATTCGGATGAACGAAGGGGTGTGAAACTCAAACAGAACAACAAACTATCCCGACCTACGGGCACGCAAGACTGAGAAACATAAGCGAAATACAAGGGCAACATTGTTGAGCGGAAACCCGCAAAGTACACACTGTTAGTGCGCGTAAAACTGAATTGCCATATTCGGTGCCTCTCAGTGTTGGATTCAGAGGGTGGGCGGTAAGAACGATCACCCTCCCCCGTCACTTCAATGCTCGTAGTCCACCTCCTATCACAAATTTGGACAAATGAGTGAAACCACAGTGAGCCCATATCAACAGTACTTATGTTATAAAGGGGTTTTTCCTGCTTGTAAAGTAAATGTTATCACCAAGGGCCCGCCCCCCCCCCTCCCCATCTTCATTGTTAATTCAGGTGACCGCCCCGCTAAAGTGAGTGGCTGGATCCGTCCCTGGTACATCTCCATTTCACAATGTTCGGATCTCCGTAGCTCTAAGATATGCAAGCCTCGTGCTTAGTCCAGGGACTAAAGCTAATGCAACTGAAAGGCCTTTGTTCAGGGTTTCATACTCAGCCCAGGAAGATTTTTCCTTTTCCGACTACAATGAGACACCCGTATCAATGGTACTTGTAGCATCATCCGGAAAACAGCACGTGATAAAAAAAGCATAACGCAGACATGTCTAACGAGACAACTGGCCCCTCGGGACAATTCTCTTTCCTTCGTTACTTCATTGCGAGGGCCTCATCCCGACAGACTTGCTGGGTGCGTGGTCAGCTGCCACCTCGTGCAAAGATTGCACGCCATGTGGCACCCTGTGGAAAAATGAATGTTCCACACCAGCCGCCTTGGCTGCGGGTGGCGCTGACAAACACACTGAGAGACTAAACGCACAACGTACCTGTACGATACTAACAACACCCAACAAAGTGTACGAGGTAGTGCCCTCCGCCATAGCTCACTTTGTATTGGAAGGTTGTGGTTACCGGCCTGACTAACCAAACGAGTTTTCTTTCATCCCTTTGAACTATTTCTAAGTTATTGTAATTAGTACCACGTAACTAAAATAATAAATAATATTCTTTGTGTATCTCCTAATTCCTTTGCTTGTTGTTTACATTTGCGTGTATTTAACAATGAAACGAGCCCCTCGAAAAATTTTCGTTATATCATTGAAGACATGTCTGAAAATACACATAAAAACAAAACCAAGAGTTTTGAAGAGGTTCACTAATGAGAAAAGACACGTGTTGTGTTCACCTGAACCCTCTCTCCCCCCTCCAAAAAAAATTACGCCCATTGAAAAGAAAACAAAAAACGGTCTTATTGTTTCATATACATGTGGACGCAACTGGACATTACAATCGCACGTAATGAAGCTTCCTAATCTTTCAACGAGTTACCAGGTGAGACAAGGACAGGTGGCGTAGATGATACACCAACACAAAACTAAGGCCACATTTTCTCGTCTTTTTTGTGTCTCGCCATTTCGATCACTCCGTTTGCAATCCACAACCATTCCGTCAACACTACAACCAAGGCGACGATTGCCAACCGTTTTCTCCACCAGACTAGGACTGCTTTAAAGAAACAAATAAATAAAGGAATACACTGCGTGCTTCGAAGCTGGAAATTCACCATAAGTAACTTTTTCTTCGGTCTCGCACTTGAGTAGCGACGATGACGTCGTCAGAGTCCTGAGCACCACATCTGCTTTTTTGTTGTTGTTGTTGTCGTTGCCGTGTTGCTTGCTGCGGCTATTGCACAATTTCCCGAGCCGTAAACGCTGCAGGGGATGGTCCTCAGTCCATTCTGCGCTGGCTCGAGTTGACCCATCGCTCGTTCTTCTCTGGTCACTTTTCGCTTACAGCGGCCACCGATACACGAAGAACAGCGCAGTGCTCCAGAGCAGCAGCTGACAAGAGCAGCAATGGAAGCTTGGGACGTTTCTGGACGAATCTGAGGCTGAAAATTTCAACAACGGTAAAAGAAGTGTATTAAGGCACGCTCATAAGGCCTACAAATTCAGGCTTTTACAAAAAAAAAGGATAAATTAACTTATCGCAATTGAAAGAGAACGTGCCGTAGGAATGCACAATCAGTCATAAGGTAGTTAATTGGCCCCAATGACTTTGTGGTAATTGTGTCTAAATACAAACCGCAGCGAAGACATCTCCGCCTGCATCCCAGATATTCGTGCCAATTTTCATCGTTATTTGCCAGAACCCAACTGTGACTAGCTGTTCTCAAAAGAACTACATGTTACGCATAGGTCATCAAAACTTGTACGTCTCACTCCGATTCACTCATGAAATATATTCTGAGCTTTGGACTCACTAGGACTCAGACTCGCGAAAACGTACCTGAGCTGGACTCAATCGGACTCACACCCACGAAAATTTACTGCAACCAGACTCGCTCGGATTTAACTCACATTACTCACCCGGACTCACTTTGACTCAGACTGACGGCTTGATCTGTGGGTGAGTCCCAGAGAGTCAACTCGTAAGTTTGCCGACATTTGACGTCATGTACGTATCCAGAAGGCTAGTTTTCAAGAAAGCCGCATCTAGGGAATGGCTCCCTGCACAATACCAGTGTAACTAGCTGTTTGGATTGTGGGGCTTATATAATGGGAGTCCCGGAGCTTCAAATTTTTCGCGTCGAGCTGAACGACCTCACCGTTGACTGTAGTGGTAAAGTGGGGTGCTTCAGACGCATCATGAGCCATGAAGGTTGCACGTGTCATCGCACAGTGAACCGTCGCACAACGGTTTCAATTGAGCCAGAATTGAGTTTCTACAGCGGCACAAGCTGGTTGAAGTAAAGAGAGTGTCTGTTTGATGAAAGCTCAAATACGGCACATGTAGGTGGTGTTCTGCAATGCCACGGCAGCGTTGCAGACGCAAGCTTTTTTTTTTCCTTAAGGCGACTCTTTTGTTACAACACACTCACGCTAGTAATCACAGAGCTTCATTGAGGTCGCTCTGCTATCCCACTGTAATAGGTTTATCTTTACTGCAGTGAGAAATTCAATGAGCGTGTCATTGCTCGTCATTGGCTACTGGCGTCCTCTACTCCTGGTAAAGGGCAGGTAACTTACTCGCAACGTCAAACTGACTAAGCTTTCGTAACGCAGCTCCTTAAAACTTCACGATGTTCACCTGCTTTTCGAAGGGCCATCCAGTGGTTTGAGGAGGCTTTGGCAAATCAACGGAGAAAATGAGGCGACGACCCGTCTAACAGGCGTGAAGGAACCCAAGTAACTGACGCCTAGTCGGAGCACAAAATCCTCGAGGTCTAGGCGCTGAGATTATCGGAGTCTAATAGCCGTAATCTTAAGATATGACACATCCGCGCCCTGTGAGGCCGGGGACTTTCTACACGCCGGATGTGTAAATAAATGTCATTTCTCTCTCTCTCTTCACCCGTTTTTGATCCGTCCGGGCGCCGTGCACCATCGAAGTGCGGTTGCAAAACATCTGTGCGCAAAACTTTCTACGTATAGTTTATTAATATAAAAGACCGCAACCGAGTAAAAACACCAATATTTAGTCACCCATCAATCACAGCATACAATAGACCAAGCGGCCAACAATAACAAAATGAAAGGCTCTTAGGTAGAACAAAATAGAAGATCAAGGCACCACAAAAGCTGACAACGCCCTCAGACACTGTGTCCAATTGACACCGTCGAAAAGGTTTGTGTGTCACAAACATTGCATGAAACTCCTCTGAAACTCCGTATATATAGCATGTAAGTGACTGTATGGTATATATGGCTATAAATTCAGACATTCAGAAGTTTCCTAGCCAGTGCTAGAAGGTGGCCACTGCCAAAAAGTGCTATTATTTGGTCCGTGGATTGATACTACGATTGGTAAGCACAAAATAAAAGCGCATGCTAATTTTCTTGTGTCTCGTGGTACTAAGCGAGTGGTTCTAGTGATGCTTCTGTCCAATATCAGCAACCATTTCTTTAGTAGATGCAAAGATACCAAGACGCAAATGGCTAGAATTGTTATTACTAAATAAGCACTTGAATTTTCTCACATGAGCCACCTCGATTCCTTTCTGGCGGCTCGAAGTGTACCCGATCAAGGGGTCTGTGTCCTGATCGACTTTGTTCGTTGGAAGGAACTCCTGCATCTGAAAAATAAGAGAGAGACATTTCCAACTTTTCAATTAGGCGAGGTTAAGTATTCTGCTCCACACATGAATGTGGTGTCGCCGTTTTTCATGCGTGAGCAATAACTTTCTTCGTGTATGACCTGCGTATTATGCGTTATTTCACATGCTTAGTCCTACTCGTGCATATGCATTATATAGCATGCGTCCTTGAATCTCAAGAAGATTTACGCCATTCCGTATAATGATATGAGGGGCTGAACGTCCTAAAACCACGATATGATTACTATAAGACGCTGTAGTGGAGGGCTCCTAAAATTTCGACCACTAGAGGTCCTTTAACCAGTACAGAAATCTCAGCACACGGGCCTACAGCATTATCGCCTCCATCGAAAATGCAGCCGCCGCAGCCGGGATTAGATTCCGTCACCTGCGGGTCAGAGGCCGAGTACCTTAGCCACTAGACCATCGCGGCGGGGCGCAAAGAGTGCTGATGTTTATGTTGCAAATTATTCACCCCTATACAGCACTGTAAGAGACGTCGCCCTAGAATTTATGTTGGAAATTATTAACCCCTATACAGCACTGTAAGAGTCGTTTCCCTGGAATGAAGTCAGTTTCCAACAAGTGCCAAATGAAACTATTGAAGGATGAAAGTTCAGCCATACAGGCCTAAATCCGCAACTTCTCTTCAGTAATGTGCACAGAGTTCTCACTATAAATAAGACCACATGTTTCTACAAACTGGACATGTCGACAGTTAACAGTTAATAAAATAGCAATTTTGGCAAGGGCATGGAGAAGATAGGGGCACTCTAAATTTAAGCAACATACAGCGCTTTTTTTACATGTTACACTCATATTCGTAATGCCTTGCCGAAATAGAGATGAAAAATGGAACAGTGGTGTGCGAAATACTACATTATATAAGATTAGGTCACATGATTAAGCAAAGTTCTCTTTCTACATACTTTGTAGTAATCGAAATGATATCGAGAAGGCTATAGTAATAAGTTTGTATCTTTTAATGACTTTATTTGGTTTTTTTGGTGAGGCTGGCACTCTTGCCTTACAAAGATCTTCGCTCCACGTTTAATTACAACCTTAAGAACTTCGAGCTAGCAGCGTGCTCAACAATTCCAAGAGAAAAGGACCATCTCGAAAGCAGCAGCATTCTTCTACAGTGGCACAGGACTTTTGGTTCACACTTTTATAAGGATGTAATTTCAGTAATAAATGCATCAATAACCAGTTTAACTGACCGGGCTGCGGAGAGTCCTTGGCGTTTTCGTCGAGGAATGATTTTGTAGCCGTTATCGAAAGGTCCGCTTGCGCCCTTAACCTCTGCAGGTCATCCCGGCCTGACACCTTGGCTGAAATCAGATTAGAGCGCTACAATGTCTTCGTTGCACCTACATCATCTATTTCGTCTTTTTATTTGTATCTCAAAAATTTTATGTTGTAAAAGTTGCTTGGAGAAAAGATGTTCTTGCTGTTGTCATGTCCTCAACTGATGTCATCAGGACTGAGGCTATATAATTATGTTATCTGGTTTGACAAAATATTGTATGATTTCACGGTTTGGTAATGAATGTCTCGCTTAAGTTATATATGTACCAATATATATTGCAGATATATAAAGTGAATATACTTCAGTGCGCCTACATTTTAACATATGTTATTAGGCGAGTAATCCGAAAGTAGGCAGGATGCTTAAACTGCACTTGACTACAACAGATGTCTTGGTACTTGAATTACTTATGCAAAAAGAATAAGAACTTTCAGCTAAGATCAAACTACTTGATTCGGAATGTACTGCCCTTTAACCATTTGTTTATGCGTTCTGTATTTTAGTTCGCGACGCACATTAGCGGTAATCAAAGAATCATGATGAAAGCGAGCTTACTTCTGGGCACCACTGCCTCTGTTGCTGGCGTCGGTCGGGCCAGAGTTGTCGGGTGTGGAATATCTGCAAGAGCAGGAGTTTCACATCTTTTGTTTCGCAATTTATCTTACACAATAAAAAGCGCCGAACGGATATTCTATTGAAATAGCGGCGGTATTAAAACAGCAGTTTAGCATCGTTGATGAACCTAAAAGCGCTGTGCCACGTATTTAGGTCAAATTATTCCAAAGTGCCTCAGCCCTGGTTGTATACTTTCCGCCAGTGAGAGTCAAGTGCGTTGCTGTCAGTGTTATGCTACTGCTGACGAGAGTTACGTTGCAGTGTTAACATGTATTTTAACCATAAGCACGTTAGAACGTGCGAAGAATAGTATTACTTCATTACCGCTTTCAGCCGTGCAAGTATTCCTGCTTCCCCATTCCGATTTCGGTCCACAGTACTAGTTGTAATGGTGTCAGTACGAGCAGCGTCCTAAAGAAACTTCCTCAGTCAACATTTCCAATGCCCACATGAAGGCAATTCCAAAATACACAGACTACAAATTAGGGTTGGTCTCTCTGACGAATCATACTGGATGCTCTTTCACATCTTTGCTGCCTTGCTTCATTTATTCTTTGCGTGTGATTTGTGTATTTTCCTTCTGTCTTCATCATCTTTCAAACATCAACATGTTATCCTCTCACCATTGAGAAATATGATTGAAGTGCTAATCCTCTCTCAAAACAGGGTGAAACTTCAAGGAGGCTTACATATGAAGCATCGAAATGACTTTCTCTGACAATCTTATTCACTCAACTTTTCAGTTGTTTCTAGATAAAGAACAGTACTTTTGAGGACCTGCAAGCGTATAAAACGGTTGCAGGGTTTGCCAATTCTCATCCAAGCTACCTCTCTTTCCTAACTTTCCTGCTTATTCCTCTTCCTCTCTATCTTCTAATTTTATTCCTTGTATTGCGCTTGTATCAAAGTTCGACATAAGTGTATTTCTTTAGGAACGAAGTGTTTTCTATCTCTGTAACAGAGGGTTGTCAATGGGTCATGGTCGAAGTAACCTAGTTTTCACGAAATTCAGTCTCCTTGTTATTTAAATACAAAGTTTGCCTAACCAAGCGTATTCTAGGCCTTGCTATTCTATCAATGTATTCTAATAGCTAAGGTTATTCTATTCTCCTACTCTAATAGCTAAGGTACTCACCGTGCAAGCGTATGAAGCCCTCTTTCTCGCCGAAGGTGTTCTTGGCGTGACACTTGTAGCGGCCGTAGTCGGACTGCCGGAGGTCGTGTATTTGGAGGCGCATGCGTATTCGGTAGGAGTCGACTTCTTCCGATATGGCGTACTTCTTGCTCCGGAGCAGGATCTGGTCGTCTCCGCGGATCCACGCGGTCAGCGGCCGTGGTGAGGCCTCCACCACGCACTCGAGGAACACCGATGTGCCAATGGCGGCACCCACCAACTGCTCCGAGACGCGGATCTTGGGCCGGACTGAAGCAAGGGAAAAATACAGCAGCCCGGCGAAAAAACTCAGTTTGCTAATGTTGTTAGGTGGCTGTGGCAGTGAAGCAGCTGAGGATGAAAAACAGTAGCAGTTAAAGATGAAACACTTTATTGGGCGAACTTGCGCCAAGAAAGAAAAGTGACATGCTCAGTGTGATGAAAATCTCTAGCACTTCATCGGTCTTCAGTGATAAAAAAAAAACTGATCCACGGTGACATACGTCGTCTTTTGCACAAGCATCACAATACATTCCTGTGTTATGACAGATTGTCACGTACACTATCAAAATTACTCAGACATACGCATCTGACATGGAATGTTTGTGGAATAGTCGGCGTTATTCGCAAAGCGCGCACTGAGCCGAGAAACGAAGTGTTCCACGAAAAAGTGATACAGGCGTTACCCATGAAATTAAAAAAAAACAAAATGTGCTAGTCGATATCACTCGAGTCGCTCGACAAAGCGAGAGGAGATATATAGAGAAAAAAGAGGGAGAAAAAGCTGCACGTTACCACGGAGTATTTACCTGTAATCTACAATAGCAATACCTCAACCTCAGATTGCTCCGATGACAACAATAGCCGTGGAACAATAACGGTGCCGAAAATTATTTCCGCGTAGCATTCAAAGGACAAACTGATATTTTATAGTTGGTAGTGCATAATTCGTGCGGCGACACAAAGAAATACACGGATGGTGAAAGATCCAGACGTGACACAACGCTGAATAACAACTCTTTAGACAACGAAGCATAGCTTTACCCCCACCGATAACTGCTCGCATGACTACGCATGCGCGGGGTTTAGCGGACGCTTGTAGCAATACCGGGCCAAATTTTCAGCGTAATATAAGACTGAGCGATGGGCTGCTTCACTCCTCCTTTTTTTTTTTTGTTGTGGTTGGGGAAAAATATTGAGGTCTAGTGAGAATCGAGGTGGACAGCCTGTGTACTGCCATTTTGCTCTGCGATAACAGTATATGGCAGCATCGTCATAATAAACCTTCCACGTGCGCAATGACGATGGCCCATTTCGGTATTTGCAAGGATTATAGGTTAACCTTCTAGCTCGACCGAGGGTGGCCGGCTGACCGGAGAACTGGCTAACCTTCCGGTCCTTCCTATCCTTCTTCTCCTACTCCTCCTTCAAAACTCACAACAGCTACGGTCATTCAAAACTGCACACATTTGTAACATACTTTTAGTGCAAAACGTGCATAGAAATTGTTCTTGCAGCTGAATTATAAGGTATTGATTTAAAGTTTCTATCACAGAATGGGTTTTACAATTCACACACGCAATGCATGTAACACCGTAAAACTTGCTTGCCTGTAAAGCGTGCTTCACCCTAGACAGTCAAGCTAAAGAAGGAGACGACTTCACGTAAACTTGAAAATTTTGCATAAATAGCGTGTACGCGATCTCCGTTTTTCTGCAGTAGAACCATAAAAGTATCAGGAAGTATAGTCAGCTAGTACAAAGAGGCAAAGATAGCAATTTACTGTGAAACCTCTGTCATGTGATCTGACAAATTACAGGGTGATAAAACTTTTATGAGGTCCCGGCCAAGGCCCATTGGCCTGCAACGTATTGGAGTACAGTTGTTGCGAACCTATTTTTACCACGCGATGTTTGCTACAAACGTACGCTAGCGCACCGGTACGAAGAGGTGTTCCGTGCTCTCGCGGAAGGCACGCTCGGGCGCCGGCAAACACGCTGCGTGACCGTCAGTGGTGCGTCATTGCCTCCGAAAAAGAGCGCACGAATCTTGAAGGCCTTAATTCGCCTTCGCGTTTAGAGTACAGATGGGGTTAGCGTCTCGCTTTTCTTTTTCCCCTCTTTTCATTTTTATTTTTTGGGGGCACATGTTCATGCTTGCGGCTGAGCTCGAAACAGCAGTGTTGTCGCACTGTGTTACCACGTGCCAGCCACATCAATGCAAGCCTTGTCTTCGCAGTCACACGCCCTGTGAAAGAAGACTGACAGTTCGACTGCGGGCCCATCACGAAATCCCATGAAATGTGTACAAGGACCACAACATTATAAGTGGGCAGTCATGGCGAAGGAGTTAGGCCTGCCAACGTTGATTTGCGCGGGAAACGAAAGCATTTGAGCAAACCTCCAGATTGTGCAGATGGGGCCGTAACTCTAGCGAAATACAGTTCTGCACTTTTCTAGCCTCCATCTACCCATGTAAAGTGCCTGAGTTACTTTCACCGCACTACTTTTTTTGTTTAGCAAAAAATTGCAGTAAGAATAGGAAGAGGTTATTAGCGATCATGGCTCACAACACATCTGGGTAAATAATTACACACGCGTGTGCACACTGTTTATTGACGAGTGCAAGTATGAATACTGATGTCTAAAAACTTTACTGGCAATTATTCAGAGCTGCACATGACATCGCTGCGGCCCAGAGAAAAAATACATAAAAATACACCAAAGCATGCCTTTTGTCGTATACTAATTTCCCGTGTTCTTTTTTTTTTTATTAAGCGGATTACTTATAGGAATATTCTTGGTGACCCCACAAGATTTGTATCACCAAATTTTAATGTATTTATTGTATTCAGTTTCTAAGGTGGTCTAGCCTGTAGCTCAGTTAATGCTTTTTCCGCTCTCTATACTACTGCGTTACCTTTGTTATCGCGCAATGCGTGGAAGATGTATGTGTTCTCGTTCAGCTACGCTCTGTTTTATTAGGTTAATTTCCTTCTCATCGATGTGACAGCTTTAGATTCCTTTTCAAACCCAAAATTTTATTTGTGGCGTCAGTGTTTCACGGCATCGGAGATGAATGATAGAAAACAATCGCCATACTTGATGACATTCCCACATGACGCCACAAGTTGCCAAGATTTGTGACATCACAGTATGCCACTTGACGTAACGTTACATAAGGCATCGTCACATGACATCGTAGCTTCCACAGAGGTGCTCTCAACACGAAGGCAATGCAACAGAGGGCTCCGGAAGTTTCGACCATCTGGTGTTCTTTAACATGCATTTAAAATTTAAGTAAATGGCTTTGGCGCATTTTCATCTCCATCGAAAACGTGGCAGCCACGGCCGGGGTTCGATTCAGTGACTTGCGGGTATACAATCGAGCACCATACCAATTATGGCGGGTAAAAATTTAAATTGCATCATCTTAAGACAGTGAACACACACGAAAACAAAAGAATAATGAAGGAACCAACACCATGAGCGCTGATGTCGTCGGATCAACTTCTAGTCGTCTTAAGTGATAAACCTTTGCAACTACGCTCATAGTTGATGGATTATTGAAATTTTCACGGCGTTGAATTCGTGAGGCAATTAGCTATTTCAGTGAATTCATTCCATGGTTACTTGAAAAAAGTCTTTCATGGCCCCCTTTTACGTGCACCGAAATCTGAGCACACAGGCATATAGCATCTTCGCCTCCTTTTAAAAAGCAGCCGCCGTGATACTGTGACTTTTTTATATAATTCTTTGATCTTTATAGCACATCATTTGTTGTTTTGACGTACACTGCTTATTCTATTGGCTTTCAGAAAAATAAAAATGCAAAACCAAGCTTGCCAACAACTATTCTTTTTCCTTTCTTTACACCTTGTAACCAGGACTCATGCATACGACCTCAGGGGCGTGTTGGCTTGCGTACCAAGTGTGATGTCAAAAATCCTCATGCTGTAAAAATGGTGATTTAATATCCACATGCCACTCACAGTTCACTTGCAAGAGTATCCTTTGGCTGACCGAGGGTGGAACTCCGTTTTTGGCGATGCACAGGTAGGCACCCATATCTTCTCGATTCACCTGGCTTATGTTGAGGAACTCTCCTTCCACCGTCATCACTGCGATACAACACACGCCATATGCGCTGACACTAAATAGTTACCGAAGATACGTCTTCAATATTAGGTACCGTGTTAATGTGATACAAAAGAAAGCATTGCCGGTATTTAGCTGAGCGAAAGAATTGCACTAAAAACCTGCCAGTTCTTGTAAACTCCTGTAATATAACATACTGGGGGCAAGAAGCCATTCAAATTACTTTGGTACAATTAAATCTACCTCGCTGGTTATCTACGTCTGCTTTAATCCATATACTGAACTTCTATTCAACTTTTATTCAAGCATCGTAAACAAAAAAAAACAATATCGTTCATTCCAGCAGCGTAAGTTAGTTTGAGGAGGGAAAAACTGGGCAAACCTGAGTTCTTACGGCCACTGTAGCGCTCAAGGTTGACCTCTCGGCCATCCTCTCGCCGCCAGAGGATCGTTGCCGGCGGATAGCCACTGGCTCGACAGTGCAGGCTCACGCGAGAGCCCTCGTCCACCGTAACATCTGAGCTCGTATCTTCGTCAAGGATGGAAGGCGGCACTGCACACAGACGCCACTAGGCACGCGTCACGAACCGGCTGACAGCGGAGATCGTTGTTGCGTAAGAAGCATTTATTTCACTCCCTGGTATGAATAAATGTATTTCATACTTGTAACGCCATTATATTTTATATATGAGCAGAACTACAGACGTGCCTATGCATGATAATAAAAGCAGTACCCGCATGTTCGAAGAATTGTACCATAACAATGTTCATAAATGACGATTTCAGTAAACTTTTATCTTGGCCTCTGACTAGCGAATGTGACTCAATATGGTAAAATGCTCTCAAAGAAAAGCCTTTGTGAATTCGGGCCAAGTTTTGTAGCAGTAGTTGTTCTATTCTGCTCGTTATGAATTGAAACTTCGGTGTGATCTCTTCTCATATCAGTTTCAGAAATAATCAGCGACCCAACCTAGTGAAAATAGAAAAGTGCGAGCACCAAGAAGGCCCCACTAAAAAAAGGTGTTTTGACACAGCATGCCCAGTGCCTTCGTTACAGCTTTAATGCAAGCAATCGTAGTGCTCATGTTGATCCTCTCCTCAAGGAGTCAACACAGCAAGGGCTTGTAAACGAGCACAATAACTTAAAAGCGTCACTGTGCAGTCTGTACTGCATTTCTCTTTACTGTCCCGTTAAGAAGAGTCAGAAGAAGGGCCCACCGAGCACGTCGAGGAATCCCACTTCTGTGATCATCGGCTCGGTGTTGATCTGGCACATGTAGAAGCCCTTGTCCGAGGGTTGCACGTTCCGTATGTGCAGCTGCCAGTGGCGCTCATTGTTGTCACTCACTCGCAGTCGTGGCTCCCCAACGATAATGTGCCGATGGTACGTGAGCAAAGTCTCTGTGTCCATCTTGATCCACGCCACCTGGAAAGGATTGGCGATAAATCATGGCGAACACGTTGTTACGAGGAGGAGGGAACATGAATAGCCTTCCAGCTGATGTCGTAAACAATAATGATTATGAATATTTCCGCATTTCTGTAGCGAATATTGCATACTCTGGCTCTTTTTAACTTACCGTACATTTCTAATTTACTGACATATTTTGCTTCTTTTTTGTTTTCAGTGCGTATGTGCTTTTAACAGACCCTGTCATAATGTCTCACGCGCTGAGGTGTATAATTAGATAAAATAAACATAAGCTAGCACCTGGTGGTGTTTTACGAGCCAATACCTCTGTTCGACTACTAGATACGTCTTGGGGGGGGGGGGGGGGGGGGCTCTAGTTTGAATTTAAATCTCCTGGGGTTCGTTAGTTAACGTCCACCTAAGTATAAGCACACTGGTCTTATTTGAATTTCTCCCCCACCGTAATGCGGCCACTGTGACCGGAAGTCGAACCTATGCCCTCGAGCTTACTAACAGAACGCAACCTTCAGCTAAGCTACTATGCAATGGGTGGAGTGAACAACAGGCCATCTCAATAGCGATGCGAATATATATTTCAAGAGACACATGTCCATGGTGAGGGCGAGGATGAGGATGAAAATATTGGAGCATTAATATATTAGAGATAAGAGATATTCATGCAAGGTTGTTGAACAAGACAGCTACGGGTGGTTTCGTTAACATGCATCACGACAATCTTGCTATGTTTAGAATATAACAGGTGGTTTGGAGTGGTGTAAAAATACAGTATTCATATCTTTGTCTGTCTGTAAGACTTGAAGCTTACCTCTACTGGTTAAAGAGCACAACCATGGCTAAATGGAAGTCGTAACCCAGTGAAGCACTGCCACACGTAAGAGGTAGAAAAATTGTGAAAACATAAATTTAGTTCGGGGTTTAGAAGCACATCACCCCTCTGTAATTGCCAAAGAACTTGCTGCACGCTTCGTGGAAACTGCCATTTGAATAATACATTGCCAACCGCACTCGAACATAGTGTTCCGCGAGGTACCTAATATATTCACCCATCTGCGGGAGACAGGCGGTGGCTAATCGAGCATCAACGCTTCGCGTGTTGCACGCGCCGTCCTTGCTCCACGGCCACGCAAGTTCCTTATTTTGTTTTAATATCACAGAAGACATACGCATGTACGGACTTCCATAAGACTTCCGTCAGTTTCGTGTTGTGGTCGGAGAACCTCGATTGATTTTTCGCTGAAGAATTTTAGTAAACAATGAAAATTTGTTGCTTGCTTCTAGATAACACATCCTGTGAGTACGCGGCTCATCATTAAAAAGGGTGCTGTGGTTGAAAGCGCGGACGGATTGTGATTTGTTGAAGCTATGCATGAGAGAGACAATGGTGAAGAACGGCGGTGCCAGTAGCATCCAGTGCAGGTTCTGTATTTTGTCTTTTTCGTCCCTCGCATGGCTCCGTCGTTCTGGTTGCTTTGCGATCCCAGAAAGGTAATAGCTATTGGTCGGGAAGCCCCCCCCCCCTCTCTCTTTTTTTTTTGTCACGTGGGCGGGAGCTTAACGAAGGAAATGCCCTAGCGAGCTAAGCGAATTGAAGGCCTCTTTCTTCACAGTATAACATCTCTCCCGGAATTGATTCGCCATACAAAGGAACAGCAAAGGGAAGAGAGGGAGCGGGGGCGAGGAGGGTGCAAACGAGATATAAGGAAAATGCAGGGGGCACACACCATGCGGGCAAGCACTGCCACTGGTAGACGAAATGACACCGAAAATAGGGCGGACAAATGGAAAAATCCGTTTAAGGACTTGGGGGGGGGGGGGGGGGGGAAGCGGCGGGCCGCCGAGGAAAATAGAAGTACGCTGAGAACTATTGACAAGAGCGGGACATGGGTGGGGTGCACGAGGTTGGTTTCAGTAAATGAGCGCAGTACGGCGAAAGCTTGGAAACCGCGTCGGCCATTCACCTCGACTGTATACAAACGAGGCAGCATGAACATTGGTAACATTACGTGGCGTGATGCGGGTAGTACCGATGTTTAGACCACGCCGCAGACGCAACAGACTACGACACCACGATGCCAATGTGTCTTGTGAAATATAGGGTTTTTGAATTTGACGTTAGTTGGTCTAACAGGGTAGTTGCTCATGAACTGAGCAAAAGATTTCAAATAGACAGGTATAAAATTCATAGGCGGTGTTGAAAATTTCTACCAAGCGTTTAAGTCAAATTATGCTCTGAAGCGATTAACGTACATTTGTTACATCTAATTGTCTGTTGGATTCATTTGGCCGGCGGCTGCCGAGCCGGTTGTAGCGAGGGCGATGTGGATCCTTCCTACTTGTGTCGGTGTCTGACCTAACTTTTCCAGCTGACTTAGTTAGGGACTCAATACAGTAACCGATCACACATGCATTAACCCCTCATTTCGGAAGGACAGATACTTACAAATGTTATTTGTTCCCTAGAACCATGTCGGAGTAGAACTTCACCAATGAACCTAGCTTAACTAGCTCATCACCCATGTCCTATTTTTGTACCACCATATTATTTGTATTCCTTGTATCAGATTCCTAGTAATTTTATACTACCGTATTTATATAATGGTATTCTGTTGCATTTTTTGTTTACATAACAGGAATCTTTCAGCGTTATGTTTCAGGTTTTGTATATTGTTTGGTATAAATGTATTGATATTCTGAATTCAAGTTCTTAGTTTGCATGTAAAATCAGTGCCCTTCCTGAACGGATCGAATTATATGTTATAAATAAAATAAAATAAATATTACATCATCCACTCAATATTGACTTTTAACTTAATTAACCAGGTAGGGATTCTTTCTGCGACAACGTTGATGAATGCCTCAGAAGCAGCCCGCTTCAAAATGATTCAGCACCACTTTTCATAACGCTACCTAATGGATACATAGAAACATAGAGCTGGTTCGCATCATTTGTATCTCTGGAATAAGGTCAATACATAACCGGCATTTAGGTGCTACTTCGTTTGCGATTGCATGATTGCAGTATTCGTAAAACTACGCAGCTAGCAGTCATGACTGAGTTGTTTCGGTCATTAGAGTATTATTAAAATTATGGCAACCCAGGTCCTTTCGTGCTATCATTTGGTGTGTCCCTTGTTTTGTTTTGTTTTGTTTTGTTTTAACCTCGCATGGTTCAATCATTCTGATGGAAGAGAGAGCGCTGTTTGAGGCAATGTGTGTTTAGCTTTGTCGTTTGGCTATAGTAATACAATCAATGTGTTGGAAATATTCAATTGCAACACCGTTGCTATTAGTGATTACAATAGCATGGATCAGCAGCACAGTATACCCTTAAAAATCATCCACCAATCTGATTGTCCCAAAAAAACTTCAATAATAACAGATGCCAGGCCACCTCTTATGAAGTGCAGTCACAACTACCTTCTTACGCGTAGAAAAGTGTCTGTTACTACGCACGTCCGTGGTAGGCGCAGCGCTGCACCGTATTGGCCGTACAGAAGCGTACAGAGAAATACATGTTGGCAGGCTGCTTCGCTTCATCGATGAACTGGATAGAACGACAAAAAAAGAAAAGAAAGAAAAAGAGCTCCGAATGATTGAAGAGTGAGATGGAAAAGCCATGCCGCGTAGTGGGTAGCAACTCGGCAACAAGAAAGGTAGAGGGGGAAAGGGGCGAGAGAGACGTCTGCGGGGCAGACGACGGCAGCCTGGGATCCAGACGGGAGCCGCGGCTCGGAGGGACGACGGAGGTCCGGACCTCCTCCCGAAATTGAGGGGGGTTCCGCCAAGCGTTGCTAATTCGCAGGAGCCAGTTCTCATCATGCCTTTTCTTTCTCCTCTTCCTCCCTCACTGAACTGCTTGTGTCTCCCACGCGTTTGTGTCTACCTCCCTGGTGTATGGGACCTACTATGCCGAAACTCCGCTCAGAATGACTCACTACACCGAGCAGTCTCCTGGGCTCGTTTGTGTGAGCCTCCCTCTCGATAGCTCTGCCTTGTGCTCCTTTAGATACATTCTTCTGTAAGTCTGATTCAGTTTAGACATTTCTTCCTCGAAAGACCTCTGTTTCTTGTACACATACCAGGGCGGCACACACCAACGCCAGCATCAAGGGACATGTCGGCTTCAGTTGGTTCAAATTACATCCCTTTTACTTCTTTTTTTTTCTATTTGGGGGATCATCTGTATGCCAGAGTCGTCGGTATTGAAAATAACTTTTTGTCGAAGTGTGAGTGCTGGGTAGTCTATCTGTTTTTAAGAGTAATTAAGTTAAACACCTTCCGAACAGCTTTGGGAGGTCTCAGCACTGGCAGGTTTCCCACTACACTAGTTCGTGGTACGATGTGTTCTGATAAATAAGCATACAAAAAAAGAGAAAATGTTTAAGGTGTACCTTCAGGCATGGAGCGCGATAACGTTCGGGCTCCTGTTCGCACTGCCATCTCGTTTGCTTGCCGTACATCGCTTCTCGGTGGTCATCTTAATCGTGCCGCGTGGAAAGAACTTTGCAACATGACATCTGACACTGTGAACTCTTCTAAGGATCCTAGTGCAAGTAAAACTTCAAAGTACCCACCTAACCATTATTTATCTATTTTTGAAGCAGCGAAATATCCACTTCAATAGCAGTTGTGAAGTACCCATCGTGCAACGCGAGACAATAAGCACCCCCCTATAAGTGAACACTTGTATGATGGTGTGGCCTGACGATGACGATGAAATGTGGCTGAGTTCTTAGAAATGGTTGGCCAGCTTTCAACCACTCACTGATTACGCATTTCCGACTGTATGATGAATGGTGTGATCCTACGCTTTTGTCGCGCGATAATACACCGGTTAAGTTGGCTCTTCAACCACCATGCATGGCAGCAGCATAAAATCTTTTTCCGGAAGCATTTTCAAGAGCTGCCGTGACTCTGTGTCAGAGTTGTTCAATACTACGCAAAATACATCAGTAGTACAACGCGAAATACGACGCAAAATGATTGCGATGACATCAGAGAGACCGCCTATAATTAATCACTAGTAATCGATCTAACTGCACTAAATAAAGAACGCTCCGTACAGGAAGAGGCACAATAAACGGCTGCTGCTTGTTCGTTTCTGTTCGATTCATTTAGAAAAAAAAATCTGCGGATGATACTGTGGGGAATGGGGCGAGTGGTTCAAAATTCAATTTTCGCGTTGTTACACAGGGCAGGTGAAGCCACCTAGCGGGACGCAGTTGAAACAAAAAACGTCTGCAATCTCGAAGCCAATGGCGGGAAATTGATTAATGGCTGTTGCTGCTTCTATGGCTCCCGCTGCTTTTACTCTGCTGCTGCTAGCGCAGTAAAGCCGGGTAACGTTGTGCATGGCAACAGTGACGTGAGACGGTCGGTCCGCTTCTTTCTTGAAGCGGGTAATTTGAAGTGCGCTAACTCGATGCAGAGCACTAAAGCATCATTTTATTTCAAAATAGGCCCTTCCTTGGCACAAAAGTAACACTACCAGGTTTCCGGACCGCCATTTCAACAATCAACGTCGACTTAATAATTGACTTTAGTTTTCCTTTAACAGTGATAAATCAAAAGCACCACTCCAGCTGCTCACTACGAACAACCGTTCAACTTCCACGTTTTGCCTTTTACGTTGTCTAACACCTGAGGATGTCTTATGAGACTTATTTGGATATAAAGCGCACTATACTGTTCAGTATTCTATTCTATTTACATACCGCATGTACATTTGCCAGCAATTGAGCGTGATTTTATCTTTCACATTCAATATTTGAGAACGATACATTTTTTTATTCTGCAACAACGGGGCCTATGCATGCTTAGCTGGTCCTCAACAAGAAGTCGAAATGGGCCTTCTTGAGACCACCCAAAAGAAAAGTACCAGCGTCCTCGACATCATCTGAGTGACCGTCACACAGCATATCATAGTGCCTCGGTTGGTCGTTTCTTCACTTTATATGCAACTAAACTCGAAGAAACGTGTCACCCGCCATAGTGGCCTAGTGGTTAGGGTGTTCCAATCCTGACCCGCAAGTTGCGGGACCGAATACTGGCCGTGGCGGCGGCATTTTTGATGGAGCCCAAAATGCTTGAGGCCCGTGTGCTTAGATTTGGATGCACGTTAAAAAACAACAGGTGGACAAAAATTTTTCTGGAGCCCACTACCACGGCACCTCTCATAATAAATTCGTGGTTTTGGGACTGAAACCCAAATGTACTATAATAATATTGTTACGATGGAAGCTGGAGGCCTGAGAGCAGCGAAACTACTTCTCCTAACTGAACTTGAGGTTGGTGTAAGTGCTAGCCGCTACAAGTTTTATTCTTGTGCTATTGACAAATGTTACATACGAGCTCCTTTATTATTCGACTGCTGCTTAAAACATGCATTAAAGATTTGATATATGATGTGCGTTTTAGAGTTAAGAAGAGAATTTGTGCGTCACACCACGGACACCGGCGTAACAATACCGAAGTTCTGACATACTATTTGTACTTCGTAATTAGTGTGCAAAGTCTTCAGGAATGTATAAGAACGAATCTACTTATTGCTATGTGGTTACGAAAAGAAGTTCAAAGCATGCGTAGCGGCAAAGCACAGTAAATTTCGAGACGGCTGATGAGATAGCTACTGCGCTACAGCCGTGTCACAAACCGAAGCGGATGCCGCAATCATCGTGCCTGAGTAGCAATGTTCTGTCTCATCTCTATCGGTGCTCACGGAAGCCACGGGACAATGACACGTCAGTGGGCACATATATACAAGAGGAAATGAATGCAGGAGGCGGTTCAATAATAATGATATCTAGAGTTTTGCGTGCCAAACCACGATATAGTTATGAGAGACGCCGTCATGGAGGGCACCGGAAATTTTAAATTTTGACGTGCGCGGACAACACGCAGAACACGGGACTCCAACACTACGCTTCCATCGAATTGTGATCGCTGCGGCTGGTGTCGAATCCGCAGCATTCAGATCAGCAGCCAATCATCACAACTCTTCCACCGCGGTGAACCGTGGGCTGTTTAGAGGGCGCTTTCAGCGACTGTGTATCACCTGGATGATCTTGGATTCTCAAGGGACGTTGATGCAGTCCGCGCCTACATAACGGCGTGAGTTTTTGCAGAACAAGTCATAGCCGATACTCCGTGCGATACTTGATTAAATAATCAACCTCGCACCGAATGAACAATCACATAAAAAAAGAAACACACATAGACACCACGAGCACCCGTGGTGTCTGTGTGTGTTTCTTTTTTTATGTGATTGTTCATTCGGTGCGAGGTTGACTATTTAATCAAAACATGCACCAACTAGCCCAACAGCGAGTTCCACTACTAGAGTATAATCCGTCCCATACATCATTGTCTCCCACTAACAAGGATGCAAGTAGTGGTAATGGGAGGATCACACGACGAGGTTTAGAGATATCACACGACGCTATAAGTTTTGAATGCGCTTTTTCCCAGCACCTCATCAAAGGCGGAGCTAAAATTACACCATCTTCTGCTAAAGGAGATAGCTTGAGGCAATACGAAGCAGCGCGGGAGTGCACACATAGGTATTTTTGGTAACTTTTCCGTTAATGTTACGTACTTAGCGCTATCGTTTGGGTTCTATTTATGTTGTAATGTCGTGAACATAGAAACCTAGTCAAACCGATGCAAACGCAATGTGCACCCCCCCCCCCCCCCCCAAGGTGCTGCTTCGCTTCACCTCATGGTTCCCTTCAACGGAATATGGTGTAACTATATTGGAGTTTGCCCCGTCAAAGCCCCGGCGTTGAAGTTGTCTAGCGAGGCATTCTGCACGGGCGTTGGACTCTCGTCGTCCGTTCACAGCTGACGCGTTGGCTCGACGCTGACGCTAGGCTTCGACTTCGGCGTTGTGTACGGCAGATTTTGCTTGCCCACGCTGCCATTGCGTTTTGCCACATGAAGTCCGTGTTTCAACTGTAGCAGTTTGCCGCCGACGCTGAGGTCTGGCGGGTGGAGCAAAGGCAGCACCGACGCCACTCCCTCCACTCCGCCGCCTCGCGCCGCTCACGCGGGGAGATGGGCTCCCACCTCCTCTCACTCACGTGAGAGGGCGAAGAGTTGGCGCATGTGCAGTACAGGTGGTCACGTCACACGCACACCAAATTGAGCTCCGCCATAAGGTGCTTCGCATCTAAAAGCAGTCGATGGACTGGGGGCATTCAGAGATCAGAACTTGACCGAACCCGTTGATCTCATACCTCATACGCCTGACAAATAGGATCAACAACTGTGGCTTTACAGCACCTTTTATGCCCATAATAAGAAAATGTCAAGGGTTAACGAGAAGCAGTGGGGACGCTGACTCTAGCGATCGGAAACGCTAGAAGACTGTGTTGCACAGCTGTGCCTTTGAATATGAACTCAGGGCTGTCCAGCAGCTCGTGAAGGCTCAATAACTCTTGGCTGTCACCTGCGTTGTACCCCTTGCTTGTGCCTTACTCGCAGTACCTTAAACTAAAGTTCCTTTAATGTATGCATCTCTTTTTTTGCGACTCTCCCGTTACCATTTTTGACCATACGTTCGTTGGCTGCGAATCACGCGAAGCTAACTTGCGAAGATTACGCATGATTCACTCTCATCTGCAACACATTCCTGAAAGACATTCCTATGTTACTAACAGCGAATCCCATCCGAAATTTTTGTGACCCCTAGATGAATGTATAATTGCGCTACCCCCTTGTCTCACCACCTGTCATCACTTCCTATCCAGCTCCTCACGCCGCGCTGTTACGTCCAACAGCGCGCCTGTTTGACACGCACGTTTCTTTCGCCGGAGAGCGACGGTTCTCTCACAAAGGGTTCGAGACCGCCCCGGCGCGGCGCTTCGGACAGCGCCCTCCTGGCTCTCCTCGCGCATTGTGCACGCTCGCCTATCGGCTTAACAAGCTATTAAGGGCCGCGCCTGTGCTACAGTGCGCCGCCGGAACCCGTCCCCTCTCCTCCCCTCGAACGAAAGAGGCTGTGGACGTGCGGCCTCGGCTGCAAGTAAGAACTCCTCCGCTGCGTTCGCGCTGCCGCCAGCGGGGCCTCATTGTTCCTCCCCGAGAGGGCAGCGCGGTGTTCATAGACTATGGTCGTCTTAGCGGCGTACGCAGAAAACGGGCAGCGTCTCCGGTGGCGATCGCCTTCGAAAGCACCGGACTCATTGTGAGTCCGTAATTTGCGGGGCAGCGGCGCGCGCATTCAGCCTCGCAACCGGAACGTCACGCACAGCCCGTTGTATCATTGCGAGTTTACGATTTGGCATTGATGCCTTGTTACGCGTAGGCTACGAAAAGCGTTGTTTCACTTGTGGGCGTGCTGTGAGCTTAATGTGTCTTAAATATATCGCTCGTATTGCAGGGATTGTTTGACTGTAACGATGTCATCATCGGGTGTTTAAATGATACGCTTGACCCGTTTTTTTTTCAATTATATCAAATGCGATGTGGCAGAATGGAGCAATTGGCAGGTTGCGCTTTTCTAGTCAATGCGGATGCGAAAACTCTTGCTGAGTGTCTTAAGAAGTTAGTATAGGATCACCATGGCAAAACTCGTAGAATTAAGCTGTAAATGCGTCAGCTTTGTTCATCAATTCAAGCTTGTCGCAAGATCAAGATGTACATTCACGAAAAGTGTGGGAACACTCATGAGGATTAATTTACATTTTTTTCCAGAGTTATAACTCCACGTTCAGTTATACTTGCTGCATGTAAGAATAAAATCTTTGCAATAATCGCTGCTCGACACCTTACCTTGTTTTTTCCCAAGTTCTCAATGTGACATTCGAGAGTGGCTTCACGGCCTTGTGCGACGGTGACATTCTTGATACCACTGAGGAACCGGGGCCTCGAGGTGGACGCCTGGACCACACCTGAGATAGAGTCGAACGCATATATTTAGAGTTCACCTATGTCACTCGGATATACGAAACCATAGAGCGCTTTTACAAGCCGCCACTGCTGCACAGACGATTTTACCCCTGCTGCTCGAGGTGTCTGAGGTCTACCGGCCTCCATAAAAGACTGTGACCACGCGTCCTGCTACTCCTGGTCTACCATTCACAGTTGCTTGGTGCTTGTATCACTCCCTTTCTTATCTATACTTCTGTTTCTCACTCCATCTCACTCCACGATGTAAAATAATGCTACCATTTGCTCGAAAAACGAAAAAAAAAGCGCAGCTTGCCCAAAAAGTACAGAAGAGAGAGAGAGAAACGAGAAAAAAGGAAGGCAGGGAGGTTAACCAGATGCAAGTACCCGGTATGCTACCCTACACTGGGGTTGGGGAATAGGCGGTTGAAAGAGAAAGGGAGAGTTAAAAAATAAATAAGAAAAAAACACCGACACACACGCACACACAAAAATCAGTCTACTCAGAGGCGTTCCGACAGGCCAGTAGTTCGCAAAATGACCCCAGCCGCTGTCAGAAGAAAGTATACTGCGCCATCGTCATGACTCATCGTCACAGAAGAAAGCCGTGCAAGCGCTACTGGCCCTAAAGGTACAAGAATGTAGTCAACAACGGAGCTAGTATTCGACCTAACTTTTTGCCAATTTTTGCTGGTAATGCGGAGCTTTTCATAGAGGTTCTAAGTTTTGGCTAATGGTACCAATTGTGGTTATTCTAGACCACCCTTCTCCGGTATTTGTCGGTTCTTCACAGAACGCACGTGTCGCGTTTTTTTTTTTTGTCGGGGGAGGGGCGTATCACGTGACTAGCTGTTACGTATTGTGATTTTAGTCCCGTGATTAGCTGCTAGTTGGTTGTAGAGCATCCGCCTGAAAATTCCTTTGGTTAGCCTCTTTCGCTTGAGCATTATCTCTTTCAGCCGCTATAGTGCTTAGCGTGCATACCTTAGCAATTTAATGCCGTGCTGTTAAGCCCGACGACGCGGGTTCGTTTTTTGGTCTCGGCAAGCGAACTTCAATGAAAAAAGTTACCCGTATTCTTTAATTAAGGCACACGTTAGAGAAACCCAAGCGGTCAAAACGATTCCGCTGTCGACGATTATAAAACCGTGCGTCTCATGATCATATTGAGAGTTTCCACATAAAACCCTCAAGTTAATTCGACTCTTTCTCTCTCCCTCTATATATTCTGGCTTAGCTCTAGTAATGCCATCACTAACGAACCTGCCCGTCGATTGCTTGAAATTTGTTTTACCGCAACAACAGTGGAAACTGTTTTTATCGGTGATAATGATAGTGAGCCAAAAGTTAAAATTAGTCAAAACTAACAGAAAATGATGCCGAGAAAAGCATAGGGGTTGTTGTTAGTAGTAAAATTATTGTACGTGTGAAGAAAAAAAAAGTGGACAAAAAAACAACTTGCCGTGGGCAGGAACCGAACCTGCAACCTTCACTTAGCGGTAAAATCTATAATATGAGAACTTTAGTGGCTCCTCTGCCACTCAGAAATACAAGGAACGCAGAAAACAGTAGTGCAGCAGTTCACACACAGTATCTTCACAACGTGCATATCATTTACACTTGATCAACAGACACCCCACATACATTTTAAATGAAATATAGAGAGCAACGTCAGCACAAGAGAAAGAAAAGCAATGGTTATGCCCGATGACTGAACTTCTCTTTTGACCTTAAGAAAAGAACGGGTGTGTTCCAGCAAAACAAATGCGTTCCTAAAGAAATGACAGAGAGAAAGGATAAGGAAGAGCAAACCATGCGCATACACAAGCTTATACATGACCGCGCGCTGAACGCGCGATGATGTATGTGCTTTTCTGATGTATATTTTCTGATGCATACGCTTTTCTGAGGTATCCTATGATGTATCTTTTCTGAAATGGTCTGAACGAGCGTCCATGATTGACCTTTTCCGCGAAGTGTCGGTTGTCACGTTTGGTTGTCGAGTAGGGTGCACAGTACATTTACTCCCAAATATCAATCAATCAATCAATCAATCAATCAATCAACTTTTATTTCTCATAGAGAAATATGGGGGTGACGGAAAAAAAGCCGCAGTACTGCGGCTTGACAAAGCTCCGGCCCCCTACAAAGTCCAGCAGTAACAATGATCAACCACACAAAAATTGATTTTGCTGGAAAATAAAACATTTGATTTGAATGCACATTGACAGGAAGAGGCAAATGTAGCGATTTCTAGGAGAAACATGGGAGGACTTGGTCTTTATACATCATTATACATAGTAATACACATTCATAAGACTTATGGAAAAAAGGACAAAAAAGAAAAACACGAACAGTTGTAGGTAATGATTACGTGTACAACAGAAGTTGATAAATAATCCAACAAAAAAACTGCAAAGGCAATAAATCAGTATTACACTGAGAACATAAAAAAACGTTAAAAAACATGCCGTAGTCATTGGTAAACGACATGAACGTAACAGTCATTTGAACGAAATCTAAAACAGGTAATAGTTACCAACACTGAGCACATTTCTCTAGTATGAGAAATGTTATAGCCTCGGTTTATTATGTGGACCATGATAATAAGTCCTATTGGTGAAAAGAAGATTACAATTTCAACGCACAGTACAAAAAAATTCGTATGCAAAAAAAAAAAAACAAAAAAAGTAAACAATTTCCGAAAGAGAATGAGCAAGCCAAACGCACACAGACAAAAAGAGAAAAAAAACGCCATGTACAAACAGATGAACCGTGCGTATCATTCTGCGACTGATGAATACGACTAGATGTTAGTGTGAAACGAAGTCTAAACTTCACCCGATAAGAATGAGCGAAAGGTGCGTGCTGAGGCCGACTCAGTGGCTATGCCATGTTTTGCATATTTGTTTAAGATTACGGCTAGTTGATACGATACAGACTGATTGCCATAGTTTGTGCGGCATATTGGCTGGATCCAGTCATCCTGACTTCTTGTGTCGTATGTATAGTGACGTCTTGCTAGGCGAAACGAACTGATGAATTCGGTGTTATTAGTCCTCATGGCGAGACGGTATGTACAGGAAAGACGGAATGCGTAGACGAATTTAACTTTGAGTATATTATATGCTTCAAAATAAGGGGCAGTATGAGTAGCATACGGAACGTTGGCTATTGCACGAATTGCGCGCTTTTGGCATATACCGAGTTTTTTCAAGTTGTCAGAGGATGTAGTACCCCATACAAGATGACAATAATTTAATGTCGATAAAAATAATCCATTATATATCAGACGTTTAGCTTTTACTGGTAATATTTGACGGTTTTTATTAATTAATGCAGTGACGGAGTTTAACTTGTTGCAAACATTTTGCACATGCTTATTCCACGACAATGTTTCTGTGAAAGTGACACCCAAAGCTTTGATCTCTCTAACAACACTAATTTCGTCATTATCAAGATACAACTTTTTTGTCAGTTCAATAACTCTGTTTCTAGTGCGGAAAATTATGGCTTGAGTCTTTTTTGTGTTAATTTTCAAGGAATTTCTTTTTGACCACGCTGATACTTCTGCAAGCGCATCATTAGCTAAAGATACCAACCCATCCGGCTTTACTCCGCTGAAAAAAAAGGGCTGTATCATCGGCGTAACCTACCCACTTACAATTAGTAAAAGAGGAAAAAATGTCGTTTATGTAGACGATGAATAGGAGCGGGCCGAGTATACTGCCCTGGGGCACCCCGGACTTCAGGCGTTTAGTCTTTGAATCGAAAGTGTCATTTGTGACAAATAGACTTCTATGGCGAAGGTATGAACGCAGAAGGTCATTGGACCTCCCACGCACGCCATAGTGTTCTAGCTTATACAGTAGTAGGTTATGTTGCACACAATCAAAAGCTTTTGAGAAGTCGATGTATACACCTAGTACTATATTTTTATCTTCAAAGGCATCTATTATACATTCTTTTGAGCAAGTAGTGCTTGTTCTGTGGATTTTCCTTTCAAGAACCCGTACTGGGCCAATGAAATGAAAGAGTGTTTATTCAGGAAGCGAACAAGTCGTGCGTGAATAATCTTTTCCAGGCCTTTTGATAAGATTGGGAGTATAGAAATTGGTCTAAAATTTCCCAAATCATTTTCATCGCCCCCCTTGTGTATGGCAATTACCCTTGCTGTTTGCATTTTTTCTGGAAAACAGCTACTTTCAAGCACTAAATTGTACAGTGTTGTCAGAATAGGAGCAATAATGTCGATGATGTGCTTTATAGGGCGGATTTGCATGCCGTTTGCATCCAGTGATCTAGAAGTTTTTAAGCTCCTAAATATACCGACAACTTCACTCTCCGTTGTTGGGAAAAATACCATACTGGAGTAGGGCGAACTGGTACCTTGAATGGGATATGGATTTACGTTGCAAGCGCCTGACTGGCCTACCGCAATGAAATGGTCATTGAGTGCGTTTGACAAATCTGAACCGCACTTCATGAGACCGTTTACACACAGGCTCGAAATCGCACGGTCAGTCTTAGGATGAACTATGGCGTTTAGTCGTTTCCACAACAGCTCAGTGTTTGCCACGACAGAGAAATGCTTGAAAAAATATTCTTCCTTTGCTTTCTTTAGCGTAGCATTCAAACGATTTCGGAAAGATTTAAATTTTTTCCATGTTTCAGGGTTTCTGGTCCTGATGAAATCCCAATAAAGGTTATTTTTTACCTTGATTTGGCTGCGAAGGTAATTGGTTAGCCATGGTTTTCGCGATTTATTACTTCTATGCCTGACAACGTATGGGAAGTGCTTATTGTACAGTGTCCTCAGTTCAGCAATAAAGGTCTCGTACATGGAATTTGGGTCATGTTTTCTAAAAACTTGACGCCAGTCGTGGGCTTCAACCTCGTTACGGAAAGCGTCCAGAGATGCACTGTTTATATCTTGGAAACGCTGAGGCGGATCGATAATCCGCTTAGTTGGCACTTCATTTTCGATGAAAGTAAAGATGGGAAGATGGTCACTCATATCGCTTGCAATCGAACCGCTACAAAGGTTTTTTCTGTCGGTGTTAGTGATGAATAGATCGATAAGGGTATTTGACGAATGAGTAATGCGGGTAGAATTTACAATAGTGTTTACAAACCCGTTTGACTGCAGTAAAGCTGACAGTTCGATCTGATCTCTTGAGGTTTTTAGCATGTCTATATTGAAATCACCGGCAAGAAAAAGAGAATATTTGTTGGAACGAATGAAGTCAAAATATTCTTCAAGAAAACAGAAAAAGGTGTGTATATTGGCGTCAGGTGGGCGGTAGACGACACAAAAGATATTGGATCGACTACGCACACTTAGAACTTCGAAGTTAGCATTTGAAACGGAGAATTCGTCAATGATGCTCACGTTTAGCTCAGCCTTAGCCAACAACAGCACGCCCCCTCCTTTACGTTGAGAGCGGTTTAAAGCAAAGCCTTGGTAGCCTGGTTGGGCGAACGGCACGGAATACTTTGTGTACCACGTTTCAGATACCATGATGATATCAAACGGTACGCCCGTGCTAGCAAGAAATAGTTCGAATTCGTCATGTTTGGATTCCAGCGATCGCGCATTCACATGCAGAAAAGACAAGTGATCATATCCAGGTAGGTGTTTAAGTGAAGAAGGTTTTACAGCCATGACGGCAGTAATCTACAAGAAAAAAAGAAAAAAGGGCCACGTAGGCAACAGTCTCATAATTATGACGCGTCGGCTGACTGCGTCATCTTCTCCAAGTCGCTTGCGGAATTTAAGCGCAGAACGGCAGAGTTTTCGTCTCGACGAGCAAAAATTCGTCCATCCTTTGTCCAGACATATCGCCAGCCTGCCACCCTCTTCCTAGCTACAGCAGCACCGAGAAGTTGCTTATTCTGACGTGTCAGGTGCTCATTAACAAACACAGGTTTGTAGAACTACAACCAAGCAATGTGCCCGTTTGGCGAGTCTTCCTGGCCTTCGCCAGAAAAGAATTTCGCTTCTCACGACGGACAAAGCGCACAATTATGTTTGGTTCGCTGTGCTTAGTCGTGAAGACGCGGTGACAGATGTCAATATCGTCTTTCGATACCGATTCACCAATGAGCTGACCCATCTTCGAGACCACGTCAATCACATCTGGTTCTACCGGAACTCCCTTAATCTCTACATTATTGGAGCGAGTATATTGCTCCAATTCATCGACTCGCGCAGTCAACCTCTCGTTCTCTTCCTTTAGTTTCCGATTGCTTAACTTTAGCTCTTTTATCTCATTTATGAGCTCTTTTATGTCTTTGCCCATCTCAGTCACGCTGTCACAAGACTCGCTACAGTACTGAACGCTCTGTTTCAGTGAGCGAAGTTCTGACATCACCTCCTTTCTAAGGCTATCAATCCCCTGTTGCATTGTCATGCTATCGCTAAGTTTATCGTCAGTGTCCTCTTTACCCGTTTTTCGCGTGTTGCGGCCAGTCATTTCGAGATGGCCACAGACAGCAAGAACATGGAAACACAATGTTGAAAAAAAACGAATGCAAGTGACACAAGAACTCTGCTCGGCAGCAGTGCAAGAAAACAAGAAGGTACTATGGACTTAGGAGCACAAAATCTTGTGCTTACCTGCGAGATGAGAAGATGCCGATTAGTATGTGCACTGTTGACGCACTGCTGCCGAACAAAGTCGCCAGTCAATGTCACAGTGGTTTAAATAGGTGCTGTAGGTGTCGCTGACGCTTGCGCACGCGACGTTCCTTGTCAGGTGTCGCTGACGCTTGCGCATGCGACGTTCCTTGTCAGGTGTAGAGCAGCAGCACCGGGCGATGTCACCTTCCTGGTGCGGACGGTGATCGTGCTTCAAAGATAATCGTCCCACTGCGAGATGAGAAGATGCCGATTAGTATGTGCACTGTTGACGCACTGCTGCCGAACAAAGTCGCCAGTCAATGTCACAGTGGTTTAAATAGGTGCTGTAGGTGTCGCTGACGCTTGCGCACGCGACGTTCCTTGTCAGGTGTCGCTGACGCTTGCGCATGCGACGTTCCTTGTCAGGTGTAGAGCAGGCACCGGGCGATGTCACCTTACTGGTGCGGACGTGATCGTGCTTCAAAGATAATCGTCCCACTGCGATATGGAGAGATGCCGATTAGTATGTGCACTGTTGACGCACTGCTGCCGAATATATTGTTAGTAGTAAAGTTATTGTATGTGCGAAGAAAAAATTGGATGAAGAGACAACTTGCCGTGGGCAGGAACACAACCTGCGACGTTCACTTAGCGGTAAAATCTCTATTATGAGAACTTTACTGGCTCCTCTGCCATTCAGAAACTCAAGAAAAGCAGCAAACAGTGGTGCAGCAGTTCACACACAGGATCGTCACAACGTACACATCATATGCACATGATGAAGAGACACCCACATGCATTTAAATAAAATATAAAGAGCAATGTCAGCACAAGAGAAAGAAAAACAATGGTTATGCACGATGACTGAGCTTCTCTATCGACCCTAAGAAAAGGGCGGGTGTGTTCTAGCAAAACAAATGCGTTCCTAAAGAAATGACAAAGAGAAAAAATAAGAAAAAAACTAACCGTGCGCATACGCAAGCTCATACATCACCACGCGCTGAACGCACGATGATGTATGCGCTTTTCTGATGTACATTTTCTGATGCATACGCTTTTCTGAGGTATCTTATGATGTATCTTTTCTGAAATGGTCTCAACGAGCGTCCATGATTGACCTTTTCCGCGAAGTGTCGGTTGTCACGTTTGGTTGTCGAGTAAGGTGCACAGTACATTTACTCCAAAATATAAGCACTATCACGCAGAAGGTGCACAATCGTTGGTTTGCCCTCAAGACATCCTTCATGGGCTGAGTCAGCCTTCAGGGCTGACGCAGCCCTAAAGCACGAACTTCGACACAGCGTCATGCGAAAGTGCCGCGTTGACCCCGTTTGGTGCAGCCATCCTTGTTTTGTTTTTTGTTTTTTTCGATCAGTGTTGTCAGCACATGGAACGTTTTCTGGAGTTACGAATATGTATGAGCAAGGTTCCAGAAGGTAGGAGCTCACAGCCACTGGCTTATAGATGTGACTTGCATCGCAGTCACCCTGTAAAGTGGCAAATGACTTTATAAAATGTCAAGCATTTCTTAGCAAACTTCGGTGACTTTGAGCGTATATATCTATCTATCAAGCCACGTACAATTTTGCGCTCTCCATACCAAACTGTAATAAAACTTACTCCAAAATTGATATGGCGAAACATGATTGTATGACAAACATGAATGACTGGCCACATAAACATTATGAGTAGCTTGTAATAAATGGTATGGTTCACACGCCATGGCCGTGGTACTCCGGCTATTTCTTCAACTTGATATATTCACTGATTGGCATAATGAGGCAAGAGACACCCCTGCATGACAAACACAAATGACAGCTGCTAATATGAAAATTATGGCGTGCATGTCATGCAAATCATCATCTACATGCTGCACTCATGGTCGCTGGCGGTCATTTTGCTAGCTTGGTGTACATGAAAATCGGTATTATGTAACGTGTCTTTATGACGAATCTAAATGACAAGTTGTAAGTTGAAAAAAAAAATGTCATGTCATAGAAAGCATGAATTGCATGCCACGCTAATGTCACGTTCACGGTCATTCTGCTGACATGATATACACCAAAAGTGGTATTGTGTGACGTGACTTTATGATGAACATAAGTGGAAGGTGATAACATGAATATCGTAATATACATGTCATGTTCAACGCCGTTTACATGCCACGCTCATGGTGCACTTCCACTCAGATTGCTAACTTGATGTACACCAAAATTGGCATTGCGTAACATGATTTAACGATCAACATAAATAAAAAGCGATAACACAAAAATCAAGACATGCCTGTCATTTACTTACAACATGATATACATGCCATGCTCATGATGGTTTCGCCGTTATTTCGCACGCCTTATTTATGCCGAAATCGGTATTGCACGATGTGACCGTATGGCGAATATGAATGGCAGGTCCTTGCATGCAAATCATGACATGCATGTAGCGTACAGCATTACTTGCTGCTTGCTAGATGCTTCGCAATAAATCGATTCCCACAACGCGTAGGATCTGCCAGTTTTTTTTTTCTTTTTGCGATCTCTCATATAGTTTATGGTCATCGGCAGAACTTATTTTAAGAGTATTGTGATGTTCCCAATTGCACAGCAATTACGAAAGGAAATTTCTTGAGAGCTGACTTCTTTCTTTACCACAACCTTGTGAAAACAAGCAGGTAATGAACCCAAAGAAAGCATAAAGAATTTTAATTGTGATGTCCAGTGCAAACGCTAGACTATAACACAGTTGCACTTTTCCACTCTCTCCCTGTTTTATTGTAAGGTAAAGTAATATTAATTGATTATCGATATGAAGAAAGCTTCTATCTGTGCGAGATAGGTGTTTCCAATAAATAACAATACAAGCGGACGAAGCGACAACCTGCTGCCAGCAGTCTCCAAACCTGCAAGCTTGGGACCTGCGACCATACGAAGGTTGGATATTCGGTTTATACCGATGGCAAGTTGCGGTTTCTTTCACTGTTCTTTCTACGTCATAATTGCCACAAATTAATTCTAAGACAGTACAATTAAGGTCCTCCACGCATTACTTGGCTTCACAATCTGCTGGTTTTCAACAAAATAGCCCATCGAGTCACTCCCCTGAAATCATGACAAGTGCCTGTCGAACCAATTTCTATACAAGCTCAACTTGGGATACAAGAAACATTTCAAATGTCTGGAGCCGGAAAGCTCTCTGGTGCGGCGTCATTCGAAGGCACACTCCTTGGCAGGACTCACTTGGAGACGAGTAAGGAGCGTGTTTGTCTGAGAGTCGATAAACCTACTTGTAAGTGGAATGAGTGAACGTTGAGTCAACTCGGTCAATGCCTGTAACACCGTGTTGTCTGGAAGAAAGCGGAAGATCAAAGAATCCTGGCGTTTCGTGGAGGACCCGATAGAAGCGGTGAAGTCCATTGGCACTTAACGGTGCCGCCTTTAATGGAATTCCGTTAAGCAGTGCCGTGCTGTTGAGTACGCCATCGAAGAAAGCTATGCCCTGTTTTAGTTAGTTAGGAAAGCTGATTAGTTGACCGGGTTCTGGTTTATGGGCTGAAGTGGTGACCCACTCACACACTTATAGGTTTTCTAACGAACTATACTTTTCCTTTAATTCTTTTTTTCTTGTTATCATTTTGCATTCTTTGTTTAGATGAAAAAAATTCCAGTTAAGGCAAGCTTTTTGAAACGTGTGTCCTAATCACTTTCGTGTCACTTCGTCGTATCTTACTGCATTGTTCTTCAGAGTAAAGATAGTTCGTAAAACCACTGATCTCGGTGACCACATAAGGGCTCTGACATTGGACTACATCTCTATTTAGTTCACAATGGCCCCATAATAAACACCGCTAACTGTTGTCACTGCACTGCACAGTTGTCTTCGACACGCAGATCGCTTTAGAATAAAGTGTGCGCAAGACTACTGCATCACATGGTTTTACCTTTGAAGAACGCCAATAAACGTTGCCCGTTTCGAACAACCGTAGTGTAATACTATTTATGCATTGTCCTCCAGCACACGCTCAGTGTAGTTTGCCCCCTTTTACTTTTTCTGTATGAATTGCCCTTACTTCCAGGGTCAGGTAGTGAACAGCACGATGGTCTTCGCTATTTGCACTCTTTTTTTTTTTGTCTCCCTCTTACTTTGCGTAGTGACCAAGAATAGTCTGGGATGACATGTTCGATCATGTAGAAGACTACCCGTTAGTCACACTTGTGGTTCAGCGGCTAATCTGCCATTAAGCTGAATTCGCAAACGCGGATTGCATTCTCATCTGCAAACGACAGCACTTAAAAAGAACAAAATGTAAAAACAAGCAAAAAATGTGTACTTGCATTTACGTGCACACGAAGGAACGCGAGTGATCAACATTTTTACCCAGTCTTCCACTACGACAAGCCTCATAATCATAGAGAGATTACGACATGCGAAATGACATAAAGTTCATCTTCTATTGTGCTACAACCCACGAATGAAATCACTAGGTCAGTGACTCTTTCA